TCTTTTGGAGAAAAGACAAAATGTTTCAACAAAGAAGAATCTGAACGTGACTCAACCTTGTTGGATTATTTAGTAGAGATAATTAAAATGAATTAAACAACTCTATAGTCACAAATTTCAACATCGTCTTAAACCATATTTTGACCTGCCCAGATAAACTAAGTTACAACACGAAGATGTCTTTGTTTAAAAAGACGCCAAACAGAGTTGGTTCTACAAACCGGATTCCAAAAAAGTTGGGACACTAAACAAATTGTGAATAAAAACTGAATGCAATGATGTGGAGATGGCAAATGTCAATATTTTATTTGTAATATAATAGATGACAGATCAAAAGTTTAATCTGAGTAAATGTAACATTTTAAAGGAAAAATATGTTGATTCAAAATTTCACAGTGTCAACAAATCCCCAAAAAGTTGGGACAAGTAGCAATAAGTGGCTGGAAAAAGGAAATTGAGCATATGACGAACAGCTGGAAGACCAATTAACAATAATTAGGTCAATTGACAACATGATTGGGTATAAAAAGAGCTTCTCAGAGTGTCAGTGTCTCTCAGAAGCCAAGATGGTAAGAGGATCACCAATTCCACCATTGTTGCGCAGAAAGATAGTGCAGCAATGCCAGAATGGTGTTACCCAGCGTAAAATAGCAAAGACTTTTAAGTTATCATCATCAACCGTGCATAACATCATCAAAAGATTCAGAGAATCTGGAACAATCGCTGTGCGTATGGGTCAAGGCCGTAAAACTCTACTGGATGCTCGTGATCTCCAGGCCCTTAAACGTCACTGCACCTCAAACAGGAATGCCACTGTCAAGGAAATAACAGAATGGGCTCAGGAATACTTCCAGAAAGCATTGTCAGTGAACACAATCCACCGTGCCATCTGCTGTTGCCAGCTGAAACTCTACAGTGCAAAGAGGAAGCCATTTCTAAGCAAGCACCACAAGCTCAGACGTTTGCACTGGGCCAGGGGTCATTTAAAATGGAGTGTGGCAAAATGGAAGACTGTTCTGTGGTCAGATGAGTCATGATTTGAAGTTCTTTATGGAACACTGGGACGCCATGTCGTCCGGACCAGAGAGGACAAGGATAGCCCAAGTTGTTATCAACGCTCCATTCAGAAGTCTGCATCACTGATGGTATGGGGTTGCATGAGCGCTTGTGGCATGGGCAGCTTGCATGTGTGGAAAGGTACCATTAATGCAGAGAACTATGTTCAGGTTCTAGAACAACATATGCTCCCATCTAGACGTCATCTCTTTCAGGGAAGACCCTGCATTTTTCAACACGATAATGCCAGACCACATTCTGCAGCAATCACAACATCATGGCTACGTAGGAGAAGGATCTGGGTACTGAAATGTCCAGCCTGCAGTCCAGATCTTTCACCTATAGAGAACATTTGGCGCATCATAAAGAGGAAGGTGCGACAAAGAAGGCCCAAGACGATTGAACAGTTAGAGGGCTGTATTAGACATGAATGGGAGAGCATTCCTATTTCTAAACTGGAGAAACTGGTCTCCTCTGTCCCCAGACATCTGTTGTGTTGTAAGAAGAAGGGGGGATGCCACACAGTGGTAAAAATGGACTTGTCCCAACTTTTTTGGGATTTGTTGACGCCATGAAATTTGTAAACAACAGATTTTTCCCTTAAAATGATACATTCTCTCAGTTTAAACTTGTGATCTGTGATTTGTGTTCTATTCTGAATAAAATATTAGATGTTGGCACCTCCATATCATTGCATTCAGTTTTTATTCACAATTTGTTTAGTGTCCCAACTGTTTTGGAATCCAGTTTGTAATTGTTGATGTTAATTCAACATGTTTTCTTGAGTGGTGTAAACATTTATTTTACACCTCAATTTTGTATGAATTCTGATTTTACAAACAATAAAAGCATTTCGTCACATTCTTGTTCATTTGTAAAAAAAAAAAAAAAAAAAAAGCTTAAATTGGCACCATTCAGATGTTTATTGCACAACTTTGCATTAATTATAATCACTGATTTAAACTTAAAAGACATATTCCTCACAGGACTTCTATTTTTATTTATTATGCCATTTTTCAGTATTAAGGATAGTTTTATTAAGGATTTATTATTGCTTTATAAATAGGTATAAGCATAAACTGTTTAACATCTATATCAATAAACACTGTGCAGGACATTTGCTGATGAACGTTTGATTTTTAACCTTTAAATTATTAAGAATACATCAGTGAGAATAAATGAATACAGCTTTACTATTAAGTTAAAAGTGAGTCAGTTTTGTCCTTTTAAAGTAATTAATTGCTTTATTAATGGTTCACTGAGACAGTTTACTTATTAAGAGCATTATTAAATATTTACTAGTAATTTAAGGCTCTTTATTGAAAATGTGTTCAGTTTTTCTCTTTTTGTTCTTTTTTTTCCATTTAAAACATGGATTTCACTCTTAGCTAAATTATTTCTTTTTACTTATTTAAAAAAAAGACAAAACAAAAAGTTATTACTGGTAAAGTATATTTCTGGAAGTACAATAAATATATTTGTTCTTTTGTCTCATTGTGAACACATCAAACTTTATTGTAAACTTTGATGCTTATATCAGCTATGTCCACTTATTTAAAGGGACTAAATGTCTAACCATTTTCTTGTGTAAAGCTTCAGCAGGTTTTAGCTGCAATTAAACACTTTATTATTAAAACATTGATAAATTCCTTCAGCAGAATAACAATTAATGAGGGCATCATGGCCAGATAACAGAAAACACACCTGAAGTGATTTTAGGAACTTCCTGAGTCATAATTAAACCTGTGCGCATAATTTGGAAGAGAAAATATACTTTAGTTTTCCTGCCATGTTTTATTTGAGTTATCAAATTATTCTGAGCTTTTATTTGAGAAGCAGCATCTGAAGAATAATGAATCTCAACAACTCATCTCAAATGATGCTCTTGATGCTTGTACGTTTTCAGTTATTTCAAGTTTTCTAGAGAAAATAAAACCATTTTATTCAAATTAACGTTCAAGCGAAGGTCAAAACTAACAAAACCATTTCAGGAAACTTTGTCATCAACTTTTTTTTTTTTTTTTTTTACAAAAAATATAAAAACTTGGTAGTTTTGATCTGAATTTTATGGTTTTGCTGTTTTTTACATGACAATTCGAGTTATTTGTTTTGATAAGTGTCGTTTTTTGAAAACCTTTTTGTTTTATCGTTAATAAATGTTGCCGTGACCATATTTTCCATTGTAGAAATGTAGAAACTTTACAAGCTGTCAGAACACCACATACAGAACACCATGGACTTTGTGGACAAGGTGAGGGATGTCATCATGGAGACTGATGAAACAATGGTCTCTTTTGATGTCACATCACTCTTTACATGCATTTCTGTTGATGATGCAGTAGAGGTGGTCAGTTTAAAATTAAAATCAGACACCACTCTGAGCAGCAGGACGTCGCTTTCCACAGAACAACTGTGTCAACTCTTGAAACTGTGCCTGCAGTCGACCTACTTCACATATGGGGAGCAATATTATAGGCAGAAACATGGGTGTGCTATGGGGTCTCCAGTTTCTCCTATTGTTGCCAACCTGTACATGGAGGAGGTAGAAAAGAGAGCCTTGACGTCCTTTTCAGGGACACCACCAAGTCATTGGTTCAGGTATGTTGACGACACCTGGGTTAAAATCAAATCTCAGGAAGTCCAACATTTTACTGACCACATCAACTCTGTGGATAAATACATCAAGTTCACACGAGAAGATGTAAAAAATGGCAGGTTGGCTTTCTTGGACTGTGAGGTCTCAGTTTCTGATAGAGGACATTTGCAAACTGAGGTGTACCACAAACCCACCCACACAGACCAGTATTTGCAGTTTGACTCCCATCACCCTTTGGAGCACAAGTTATGAGTCATCAGGACTCTGTACCACAGAGCAGACAGCGTCCCCACTAGCTCAGGAGCCAGGCAGAAGGAGAAATCCCACACAAGACAGGCTCTAGAGCAATGTGGATATCCTAACTGGGCCTTCCTGAAAGCAGAGAAGAAACCCAAACAGGACTCCAGTCAGCCAACAGGTGAAAAAGAGGAACCCAGACCCAGACCAGTGGTCATTCCATATGTTGAGGGAGTATCAGAGAAACTGAGACGTTTATTTTCTAAACATAACGTCCCAGTGGCTTTTAAACCCCAAAATACATTACGGCAAAGACTGGTTCATCCCAAAGATCCAGTCCCCCGGCACAAACAGAGTAATGTTGTGTATGCTGTTCAGTGTCAGGAGGGCTGTGATCAGTCTTACATCGGGGAAACTAAACAGCCACTGGCCAAAAGGATGGCCCAGCACAGAAGATCAACATCATCAGGCCAGGATTCTGCGGTCTACACTCATCTCCAGGCCAGCGGTCACTCTTTCAAGGATGAAGATGTGCACATCCTGGATAGAGAGGAACGATGGTTTGAGAGAGGAGTAAAGGAGGCCATCTTTGTGAAAAGAAATCGTCCATCATTAAACAGGGATGGAGGCCTCCGGGTTCTACTGTCCCCCTCTTACAATGCTGTGATTGCTAGTATCACTCAGCCCTCTGTGAGTAGTAAACAGCCATCAGTGTGCTAATGATCCATTGTTAGGCTGATGGGCCTTCTTGAGCATGTGATCAGCTGGTTTTGGTTGTCAGCAGCAAAACTGGTTGATCCACTCTGAGACGGTGCTATTTAAGAGACTGAGCTGAATACAGCACCTCAGACTGAGGAAGTCTCTCGGATGAGAGACGAAACGTTTCTACATTTTTTTTTTTTATTTGCTTTGTTTTGTTTTTTTGAATGTCCAGAGGACCAGATTTAACTTTTTTAGATTTTTCTACCTGGATTATTGAGCATGCATCAAGATATTTACAAGCTGTTATTACTGAACTGGGTGATAACATCACACATTCTGCAGCATCATGTTAAACCTGGAAGTCATAATTCAGTCTCATTTCAGCTTCTCGCTCTCTGTCGTCCAACAGTGGCCTCCAGCTCAGCCGAGCACGACCTCCACTCCAACTGGGTCTTGAGGGTCCCGCGGGTCCCCGATGGCTCAAAACAGACAGCCACTCCCGTCTGTGCCAACGAAAGCATCTCGAAGAAGAAACACAGCGGGTCCACAAGCAGCAGATTGCATCTGCAGAGGAACCCCATCCACCTGCCAAAAGTGGTGGAGAGCGCATTCCAGACGCTGCGCTTCAAGCCGAAATTAAAAAAGCAGTGAAGCTTCGGCCATAATAAACATCTTTGTGGACAATTAAAAGCAACAATTATCATTTTATGGTTTTGTAGAGGTTATAAGTAATTATCTTCCCTGTTGTAGATAGCTCTTGTGAACAACCAGTTTCGAGAAATGGTTTAATTCCAGCAGTAACCAAGACCAAAGTGGTTTGCTGTTAACAGTCAATTTCAAAAGGGTTCAAGCAAACATTTTTATAATTAATATTTTTTGCCCTATAAGTCACAGGGTTTTTTTTGTGTTTTTTTTTTTTGCATAATTTGCATGCCCTGTGACTTATACGCCAAAGCGACGTATTTATGGATTTTTTTTTTTCCATATTTATAAACTAATTTTAGGCTGAGAGATGACCGTTTTCATTCATTCTGACTGAAAATATAGAACACTACCATTTTCAGCCACTAGATGGCACTCCAGTAGTATGGCATGCTGTTTTATCGTGTAATAGGCAAAAGTGGCTATTAATGACACAATCGGCTTGCCAAAGACTGCCACCTTTGTCTGCCTGGAGCAACTGAATCATCTTCATTTTGCTGCGCCGCCCCGACGAAATGCAGCTGGTTTGACCATCAAAGTGCATTTAGTAAGTAAAATTTCAACTGAGACACCCCAACATTTTTCAGACAGGTCATCTGGACAGTTTTTTTTTTTTTTGTACTGAAACGTTTCGCTTTCCATCCGGAAGGCTTCATCAGTCAAGAAAACACAACAAAACTAATTCTTCCCCCCCCAACAGCTAACTCCAAAGTGGAACAAACCAGTTCTGCTTGTGATAAGATGGTCTCTTTGGTACGCCCCCTCCTTCATTGCCGGCCCTCTTCCTTGTTGACAAGACTGTCGTACAAATGTGACGCATCAGCGGTGACACATATATATGTACATGGCAAAGCGACGTATTTATGGATTTTTTTTTTTCACTTTATTACATACTTGGACTGATGCGACTAATAGGGTGGTGCGACATTTACGGCAGAAAATACGGTACAACAAAGCCTGTGGTTACCCACCATTGACAACAGCAGATAGCATTCAACTCTTTTAAAACAGGAACTCACTTTGGTCTTAGCTTAGACTTGGTGTAAGATTGTTAATCCATAAACGTTAAACTCTATTTTTCCATGCTAAGGTAGTTCAGAGAGCTGACACAACTCGGGGAAAAAAACAGAACCCTGAAAATACGGAACTATAAGTTCAGTCACATCGTTTAAAAAATAACTTTTCCTGCTTTTATACGTCAGTGTTTCTAAGCAGCTCACATAACTCACTTTATATTCAATGCACTTTACAGCAGTAAGAGGACTTGATGGTTTTAACACTGTGTACCTTAAAGAAAAAAATAATTCTACATTCCTCCTGACATCTCGAGATTGCTTTGACCGGTCGGTTAATAGAATTTCTTTTCAATTGTACTTAGAGACGTTAAACACTGTGATGGATATGGATTTTTCTTTTTTGTGGGGTTGATTTACAAATGAAAGTTCACGTCTGAGGGCTTTGCATTCCTTGAAGGCATCAAAACACAACTGCAAAAAGCAACAAAGGCTCTGTTGAAGCTCTGAATCAACGACTGCTACATGAATACCCGTTTGATTCTGCAGCGAGGCCAAGTTCAAAAATCTGAGCCGACTGCAGAGCTCTGAGCCACCAGGCGAGTAAACCCTGCTGAAGGTGAGACCACATCAACACTCCAAGTAACAAAATCCTTAATACTACACTGTGGTGCCAATTAACCTCAATATATTGTCCCACATTTTCAGACTGTACCATGTAATTATAATTACGTTACAAGTGGGAAAACAGCATCGGAAAAATAACTAGTTTAGTGTCCAATAAAGACAGGTTTTTTAAAAACAACTAAGTTTGGAACAGGAGAGGGTATTTCAACCTCAACTACAGAAATTGTGTTTCCTGCAAATATGCTGTGTGAACACTTGTTGCTGAAGAAATTTAAAAAAAATGCTTAAATGTAGCTGGAATGGAAGAACAAGCCTAAATTAGCAGAATAATGCAGAAAGAACACATTCGCTGAATTAGGTTTAAAAATCAGCAGAAAGTATCACAAAAATTAGAAAAGTAGCTACAAAAAGCTGAACTTGGCACAAAAAAATAGATGAAAAGTAGCTGAAAGGCAGAAAAAAATTAAAACTACCAGAAGGAAGTTGAAGGAGCTGAAATTAGCTAAAAAAAATTGGAATTGTCTGAAAAACCTAAAATTAGTATGAAACAGCTAAATAGTAGCTGAAATGGCTGAAACTACAATTAAGCTGAAAGGAGGGAAAGCTGAAATTACAAGCTGAAATTAACAAAAAAGTTAATTAGGCTGAAAGTAGCAGAAATTACCATGAATAAACTTGAATTTATCTGAAAACAGCCAAAATTAGCTTAAAAATGCTAAAATATATATTTTTTTAAATGTAAGTAGTTGAAAAGGTAGAACAAGCTTAAATTACCAGAATAAAGCAGAATGAACAAGTTTGTCCAATTAGGCTGAAAGAAACAGAAGCACAAAAAAGTGGAAATTATCTGAAAAAAGCTGAAATTGGCAACAACAAAATACAGCTAAAAAGTTGTTAAATAGGCAGAAATAAGCATAAATTGCCAGAAGTGGAGAGAGCACATTTTTGATGAATTAGGAAGACAAAAAGTTGAAAGTAGTGCAAAAAAAAAAAGTGGAATTAGCTGAAAAAGCTACAATTAGCATAAATCAGCTAAGTAGTAGCTGAAATAGTAGAAAAAGTTTAAACTTGCAGAAATAAGCTGAAAGGAGCATAACAAGCTGAAATTAGCAGAACGGAGTTAGAAGAAACACAAAAATGTAGTTAGCTGAAAGAATCTGAAAAGAGCACAAAACAGCTGATTAAAACAGCTGAAATTAGCTGAAAAAATGCTTAAATTTGCACAAGGACGCTGAAGCAGAAAAAAATATGAAAGGAGCAGTAAAAGGTTGTAAACACATCTAAAGATTTGAAGGATGTAAAATGTGCTCGGTTCATTTTCTATGAGAAAAAAAATGGCCGAAAAGGCTAAAAATGACAAAAAGCTAAAGTTGCACCAATACCAAAAGTCAGAGCAGGATTGTCCTGAAAGAGCTGAACGTTTTGATTCATGATTTGTTTAAATAAATACTGTGGAACAAGAAAGATGCAGAAAAATGAATCACAATAGAGTGAATGCTCCATAAACATTCACACAATTAAAAAATAATAATTCCATTATTCAAATATATTTATTACAAAAGTGTTTTCTACCAATCAGAATAGTTATTTCTTTTCAGCTTTGGCCTTAGGGCTGAAGAAAGAAGACATGGGTTTCATGCCGCTCTTGTCCACCTTGGCTAGCGTTTTCTGAGCAGCTGTCATCTTCTTGGGTGGCTGAAAAAAAAAACAATACAAGTCGATGACCTCGCCCAGAGGCAGCAGGAAATATACGACATGTGATGAACTTGAACATGATAAACAATGAGCGGTTTCCACAAGATAAACCCTTTGGTTTCATGTTTCTGCTCTACACAACAAAGCTTAAAGCAGTAAACAGACAAAGATGCAGTCACTGAAGGAGTTTTTAACGAAGGACGTCTGCTCTGGTCATGGTGACACGAGGTGACATAATTCATCTACTCGGGCAGGCTGCGCTGCGTAGACTCACTTTCCGAGCAAAGTCTGCACTGTTGAATTTGGTGTAGTCTTCTTCAGCCTCCACCGGCTTGTCTGAAAGTTTCCGCTTCTGCCAAACGAGGAAGTAAGAGATGCTTTTCAAGACAAAGAGCAACCAAACACAAAGACCCCCCCCCCCCCCCCACCCACCCCCACCAAGCACAACACATCTCAGACAGCTCTTAAACCCACAAAGAACACCACACAAGCAGTGCGTGGGGAGGACTTCTGTTTTAAAGTGATGTCAGGAGTGAGCTGGAGGCGCACACGGAAAGTGAGCTTTAGCTTCATGCAGAACAGGAAGTGAGAGTTTACCAAACCAAAAGTATGCTAACATACCTTAGGAGGAGGCTCCGTTTCCTTTGGGCTTTTGAGTTCTGCTAATCTGTGGGGTGAACCGGCCTGTTTAAACTGAAAGGTCACTATGATGTCGTTATATCAATTTATTTATTTAACTTACCCTAAGTGTCTGAGGAGAGCTTTGCTCAGTTCTTCGCTGATGTAGTCTGATATCAAGCCATGAGCGTAGCGAAGGTAGTCTTCTGATCAATTATAAATTAAACATTAAACAACATAAAAGCCAGAATATATATATATTATATAATCGAGGAAACGTTTTGATGATTAAACCAAACACACACCCAAAAAACAAAAAAGCCACTACTGCCATCTACTGGTTAATACACATACCTGCAAGTTTCAAACGCTGCAGATTAAAAACATTATTAAAGTATGAGCAAAGTGTGAAAGAGAAGTTTGTCTCAGAGGCTTCGTTACCTTCCTGATTATCTGACTTGACTCTGACGTATGTTGTGGATTTCACTCCTTCTCCAACACATATATTTTTCTTCTTCAGTGCAACAACCGTCCTGTCCACCTACAACAAAAACAGAAAATAGTTTGGTTTGCTAAGTTTTCACTAATGTTTTTGGTTTTTTTTTTTTGGGGGGGGGGGGGGGGGTGTGGGATTTCAGCTTTTAAGTGTTGCACTGTCTTCACCTTTTTTTTCAACCAGTCCAACGTTCGATCCTGACTGTATCGATGAAACTTCTGGCTTCCCACCTCTGAACATACAAAACACAACTACTGAACAAAGCACGTAACTTAACCTGGGAGATGATTAGTCATCTGGTTAGCTGGTTGTGGAGCAACCAGAGAAATGTCACCTTTCTCCTCTGCAATGTGGTGCAAGCTGGCAAGGGAACGTGTGCAGCTGAGTAACCTGGAGCATGCCGGGAAGTCCTCGTCTTTTACAACTTGATCCACGGGCTGGAACTTCCCCTGAGCAGCACATAAATAAAAATAATGATAAAAGATTATATGAGTTCTTGTTTTTTGTTGTATTTACATGCAAAGTAATTAAATAAAAAGAATCTTGGGTCAACATATGCAGCTTCCATACATAAAATTACTGGGAGTAAAGTTTGGTTCTATCTTGTTGGTCTTCATTTTCTTTAAACATCCATCAATTATCTTTACCCATTTCATCCTTTTTGGGTCATGGGGGTCACTGGTGCCCATATCCAGCATTCAATGTGCGAGAGGCGGGGGACACTGTGGACAAATCTCCAGTTCATTACAGGGACACAGAGACAAATGAGACAAACAACCAGTCATTCTCTCACTCACACCTAGAGACAATTTAGAGCCATCAATCAGCCTAACATGCATGTTTTTGGTCTGTGGGAGGAAACTGGAGAACACGGAGAAAACATGCAAACTCCACCCAGAAAGGATCCCGGCCGGGATTTAGACCGGGGCGACCTGCTCGCTGAAAGGCAGCAGCTCTATCAACTGTGCCACCGTGCCGCCCAACAAACAAAACTTTCTTTTTTTTTTTACCAAGCTGTACGTGATCATGCTCCTAGAGTTTTAGGAACTAAAACCAAATGTGGCACATTGAGGTGACCGAAGCGCATACTTAAAGGCAAATATCTCGCCGCCTCTAAGATTTAAAGGCTTTTCTCCAGAGTCTGTAAAAAAGAAACACTACAGCGTTTAAAAGCACCAATTTTTAGTCAGCAGATTTGTGTTGCAACTAACTCTGAGTTCAAATGTATTTTTCGTTTGTTTCTTTCATATAGGATTACAGGAATGTGTAAAAATTATCAAATAAAACTGCAATTAACATGACTGAGGTAAGAGTCTGCAAAGCAAACTAACATAAATGTATTTGTAGTTCTACAGGAACAGCCAAGTTGAAAATGTTCAGCTACAGAAAGTGACTGTGGGACATGAGCAACTCGTTTTATTTGCATACAAAACAAATGTCCGTGCAAGTGCTCTTACATCAGAATACAAAGTGTGATCACGTATATTCTAATCTTTATAATTCATGTGTCTTGGATCATCTGACACACGAGTTAGAAAGAGCAGCCTGACAACAAGTGTGGACAAGTTTAAGATCCACGGTGGCGCATCAAAGGACGTTCCACTACAACGGAAGTGCTACAAGAATGAACTTACCTCTTTACTGCATTTAATCATATATGGCAAAATTAGGTAGAGGGGGTCCATTGGTGTAACAAAAATCAGTCTTCCATCTGTTTAAATAAAACGAGAACACAAAAACAGACATTTATTTAGCATGGTAAATGTAAAAAACACAGATTTATAACTTAAGAGTTCTGTATTTTTCGCTGTATAAGTTGCAGTTATTTGCATAAATTAGCACGCCTGCAACTTGTACAGCGAAGTGACTTATTTATGTTTTTTTCACATATTTATAAACCAATTTTTAGCTGAGATCTGATGATTTCATTCATTCTGACATGGAAAATATTGAACACTACCATTTTCAGCCACTAGATGGCCCTCGACTCAAATGGCAAGCCAAGTGTCTCATTAATAGGTCATAGTGGCTATTAATGACACACTTGGCTTACCATACAAAGCCACCTTCATCTCACTCCGGAACTGGAGCAAACATAAAATCAGCTGCATTTCACCGCGCTGCCCAGGAGAAATGCAGCTGAGTTGACCGTCAAAGTGCATTTATTAAGGAAAAGTTCAACTGAGACACACCTTTGCTAGAATGTCAAGCAAACAAATAATTGTTTTTAAGTGTTAATCTTGTTAAATTATTGTTAAAGTCCTCCCGTGCACACTCCCGCCATTTAGCAGTCGTTCCGGCCCACATTTCCGGGTTGTCAGCAGTGACACGTAATAAATGTGATGCATCAGTGGTAACGCATAATAGATGCGACTTATGCGAAGCAACGTTTGTTTTTTCGACTTTATTAAACATATTTGGACTGATGCGACTTATACGGCAGTGCGACGTGTACGGCAGCAAGTACAGGTCCTTCTCAAAAAATTTGCATATTGTGATAAAGGTCATTATTTTCCATAATGTAATGATAAAAATGAAACTTTCATATATTTCAGATTCATTGCACACCAACTGAAATATTTCAGGTCTTTAATTGTTTTAATACTGATGATTATGTCATACAGCTCATGAAAACCCAAAATGCCTGTCCCAAAAAATTAGCATATTTCATCCCACCAATGAAAGACAAGTGTTTTTAATACAAAAAACGCCAACCTTCAAATAATCATGTTCAGTTATGCACTCAATACTTGGTCGGGAATCCTTTTGCATGAATGACTGCTTCAATGCGGCGTGGCATGGAGGCAATCAGCCTGTGGCACTGCTGAGGTGTTATGGAGGCCCAGGATGCTTCGATAGCGGCCTTAAGCTCATCCAGAGTGTTGGGTCTTGCGTCTCTCAACTTTCTCTTCACAATA